AACTTTATAATGGTAAAACATTAAATTTTTGAGTGCCAAAACTAAAAATTCTTGTTTCCACAGAACGGTTGTGTGTTAGCCTAGGGCCCAGCTCACCTAGCAAAAGAATATTCTTGCACTGACTGGACACCCAGCTGGATCCCTTCACGATTGAGGTAAGTGTGGCCTTGTGTTAGGGGACGTGCAAATTTTTGTTTTTTCCAATTTTTATTTTTTAATTTTTTCTTTGGCTAGGAGCTAAATTAATTAGTGATGGCATCTGAAATGCAGAAACTAGCAAAGGATCCTTCAGTGGTAGAGATAAAAAAACTTACCAAGTCTAATTTAGTATTGTTAGGCAAGGAATTTGGCCTAGAATTAAATGACGCGGATAAAAAGTGGACTTTGGTGAATGAAATATTACAACATTGTATTGGTCAAGAACTACTGGCAAGTGATACACCTTTATGCCAGCCTAGCCAAGCGGAAAGTGCAGCTCATAGGGACAGAGAGTTAGCTCTAGAGTTAGCAAAAATAAAATTAGAGGAGCAAAGACTCAAAACCGAGGAGGCTAGAATTTGAGCGAATGCCACTGGACCTTCACCTGCCGGGGATTCAAACCCCAGGCATTATGAGAAAAAGCATAACTTGCCTGAATTTTCAGAGTCGGACCCCTGAAAGGTTTTTAAACCATTTTCAGAGATTGGCCATGTCCATGACCTGGCCAAAGGAAGAGTGGGAGAAAATCCTACAGGGAAAACTTAGGGGTAAGGCCCAAGATATTTTTATATATATGCCTGACGAAGAGTGTTTTGAATATGATAAAATCAGGGAACGTATTTTGCGGGCATATGAAATTACTCCTGAAGCTCACCGCCAAGCTTATCGCAACCTTAGGCCTACTCACAACGAACCGCTCACTGAATTTGCTAATGATCAAATTAGATTGTTTGACAAATGGATTCGCTCGGCGAAAGCCGAAACATACGAGGCACTCAGGAACGTAGTTTTAATGGAGCGTTTTATAGATAATATGCCAGAGAATGTTGCACAATTTATTAGAAGTAGGATAGAGGTAGATTCTAAGATAGGAGATTTGGCCAAGATGGCAGAAAACTACCAGTTGGTAGGCAAAAGGCCCAATAAAAATAATTATACCCCACAGAGTAGCAAAACTTATACCCACAGCCAGTCCAGACCAGCTCATTCTAACCCTTTACCTAATGCACCTTCTGTTTCAGACATAACTAACCCTGTTAAATTGTCTAGCCCCACGACACCTAAGGGTGAACCGAAGGGTAATTCTGGTAGTAATGTCTCTTCTCCCCGACGTATCTGTGGTCACTGTAAACTCCCAAACCACGTTATTAGCCGTTGTTGGCAACTGTACCCGGAAAAAAGACCCAATGCTCTAGTTGTGACACAGGGCTTGAGGCCTTCTGAAAGGTTTGGGAGTAAGACCTCCAACCCACAGTGGTTGGACTTGCTTACCCCATTCTTATCGAAAGGGAGACTACTTTTGTCTGAGAGTTCATCCTGGAAGGACGTGGTGATCTTCCGAGACACCGGTGCCATCCAGACTTTAATTTTAGAGAGTGCTTTGCAAGGTGCCGACACTCTCAACACTGGAGAGGTGGTACTGGTCGAGGGTGTCACTAGTGATACTCGAGCAGTACCCCTCCATAAGGTTACCCTGGAATCTGATTTCCACAAGGGTGTTTGTACAGTCGGAGTCACTTCGTACCTACATTTCCATAATGTTGATGTAATATTGGGTAATGATTTGGCCGGGGATAAGGTAGGGGACTCCAGACTGCCTATTATGTTGCCTACGCCTACGATTTGCCTGGATCCATCCGCCGCAGAGGATAATGTGTACCCTGCGTGCGTGGTGACCAGGTCTATGGGACTTAAATGTAAGGGCAGCCCTGTGCTGTCCAAGGTGGTAAATCCCGAGGACACGAGGAACTTTCCGAGTGGTGAAAGCCAAGTGGACCTTGCGGACACATTCATGGCCCGACTCGATGACGTGGCCCAGGACATTATGGAGAGCCTGCCACCGCCACCTACCGAGAGTAGTGGGGAGGTGGAGAACACTATTGAGCCTCGGCCAATGGCATCTAACCAAGGTCTGGACGCCTCCTTGATTGAGTTACAGAAAGCTGACCCCAGTCTTGCAGAATGCCATGAGTTAGCCACCTCTGAGGAGGAAATTGTAGACGCAGCAACTGGGTACTACTACAATGATCTGATTTTGATGAGAAAATGGAGACCACAGAGTGCTCCCTTGTCAAATGAGTGGGAGGTAGTCCACCAGGTTATGTTGCCGACCTGCTATAGAGAAAGAGTTTTGGCAGCTGCTCATGATGATCCTATTGGCGGACATCAAGGTATTAATATTACGTATCACAAAATCTTAAAGTATTTTTTCTGGCCCAAGCTGAAAAGCGATGTGGCAAAATTTTGTAATGCATGTATTGCTTGTCAACTTGTTGGGAAACCAAACCAGACTCCACCTAAAGCTCCTTTAAAGCTTTACATATATATATATATATATATATATATATACATATATATATATATATATATATATATATATATATATATATATATATATATATATATATATATATATATATATATACCAAAATATATGTTCTTGGGGACTGTAAGCCTCAAAGAACTCAGTATATAGGCAAGACAACATCTCTTTCCAGGCGATTAACGATGCATAAGCAACAGGGCTCCATTAAGGAACATATTATCTCTTCCCACAACCAGACCATCACCAGAGAAGTCTTAACAAAAAACACAGAAATCATCAATAGATACAGCGATAGCAGGCGGCTTGATATCTGCGAGGCACTACACATCAAGAAGTCAACACCAGCAATCAACAGCCAATTAATGCACAACTATATTCTACCTACTTCAAGACTCCGCACTTCAAGACTTCTCTCCGCACCGTTTCAAGAAGTCCTTCATGAAACGGATAGAGAGAAAGATCTAGGAGTTGACATCACACCAAACCTGTCTCCTGAAGCCCACATAAAAGGAATAACATCTGCGGCGAAAGCAAGGCTGGTTAACATCAGAGCTGCCTTCATGAACCTGTGCAAAGAATCATTTAGAACCTTGTATACCACATATGTAAGACCAATCCTTTAGTATGCGGCCCCAGCATGGAGCCAGTACCTTGTCAAGCACAAGATAAAGCTGGAAAAAGTTCAGAGGTATGCCACTAGGCTAGTCCCAGAACTAAGAGGCATGAGTTACGAGGAAAGGATGCGTGAAATGCACCTCGCGTCACTCGAAGAGAGAAGATTAAGGGGAGACATGATCATTACCAGCAAAATTCTCAATGGAATTGACAAGGTAGATAAAGATAAACTGTTTAATATGGGTGGTACACAAACAAGGAAATACAGGTGGAAACTGAGTACGAAAATGAGGCACAGGGACGTTAGAAAGAACTTTTTCAGTATCAGAGTAGTTAACAGGTGGAATGCACTAGGCAGGTATGTGGTGGAGGCAGACTTCATACACAGTTTCAAATGTAGATATGATAGAGCCCAGTAGACTCAGGAATCTGTACATCAGTTAACTGACAGTTGAGAGGCAGGACCAAAGAGCCAGAGCTCAACCCCCGCAAGCATAACTAGGTGAGAACATAGCCGTGCCCTCCTCATGGTTTGATTGACGTAATTAACGGTGTGTCTCATGTGTCTGCACTTCCGGTCACCTCTGTAGGTGTTGGTAGGACAATGCTAGACGGAACCCTGATTACAAATCAGTTCCTGAGACTTTATACACCAAATACAAAACAGAGTTCTCACTTTACCAGGCCAGCCTCCACACTCACTCAACCTCATTCATACACTGAAGTACTGCAGAGCTGGATATCACCTCTCTTTCGCTACGTGGTTAAGACAGAACCACGGATGCTGACCCGGTGCGTGAACACAGGATGCCAGGAGAGGTGAACACTGTGGGGTGTCCACGGCGTGGCATGGTGGAGCGAGTCATCAAGAGGCTGGCAAGCTCTCACCGCTCGATCTAAAGTACCAAGTATTGAACTGAAATTCCCCAAATTTCTACAAAACACTTTCCCTGATTGCTGTAGAGTTAACTCCCTGATGACACCTCTTCTTGATATTTTAGTCAATGAGACTTGATGACGAGCGATGTGGGAATTAAACGCGGATTCACCAACCACGATCACTTGGTTGACTCTAATGTTAAGTACACTCTTCACTTTAATCGAAGTACCAGTCGCCCGCAAATTCCGGATTCTGCGTATCATACAGCTGACCTGCATCAATGGTATGACGAGATGGAGTACTTAATTGTCGTTGTAGGCACTGTTTCACGTAGTTTGACCTTGACTACGCAACAACACGCCTCCTCTACACCACGACCCAGGACAATAAATATTGCGGGCTCGCGAGGTCCAATGTTAGGCTGGTCCCCTCTGTCGTCAAATCCACCAATCAGGTGAGAGCACACCATGCAGCCTACTGAAGTTGCAGTGTCTCAACGAATCACAGGCTTCCCCGTGTATCACGCGCCTGTGACGTCACGGGTGAGGAGGACTGCTTGTGGGGGTGTTGGCCCAAGACCGTTGGCTCCCCCAACCCCACACCCCTCCTCACTTGCTACACAAAACACACATGAAACCTGCTCATGGCTATACCTTTCCTTACAGACTTGCTACAGCGACCATAAAATTCGTGTTGGAAAGGTCTTGCCATGGGCTGTCCGGAGACACCCATCATGCATGTGTAGGTGAAGTATTTCCTAAACTTGGCCTGGTGCTCACTTACCTTTCCTGTTGTGGACACACACAACAGCCTACAAGCTAGTTGGGAAAATCCATCCCCTCACGTGTGCGGTAGGATGTATCAGCTAGGTTATAGTTTATATTGTTTTATAAAGACTTTGTCTTTTTAAATAAAATTAAATAAAATATATAATAGTTACTGGTAACTATGTAAATGATGAGTTCCAGGGAGGCCAGTCTCATCCACCCACACCAAACCTCAAATAATTAATAAAGATATTTTTTTACTTACCAATCATTATCAGATGCTGACATTTTCCTGTCAGTGATGTTATCACATGAGCCTCTAAGATCTCAGCTGCCTCTTCTATTATTACTGGAAGTGAGATACAACAGCTGTTAGTTTTTAATTTTTCGTAAAAAGTTCTGTAAATTATACTGGCCCTGTAATGTAAAACATACTTGGTCTGTAAATTACATATACAAACTTGTAAATTATACTTGTACTGCACTGTATGTATTATACTGATTCTGTACTGTAAATTATAGTTACCTTAAATTATATGGGAACTCAACTTTAAAATATAAACAGGTAGTGTTCTGTAAAATCTATATTAATACTGTACTATAAATTATACTGGTACTGTACTGTAAATTATTCTGATACAATACTGTAAATTATGCAATTTTGCAAAGTACACAAGAACTTTACTGTAAAATATATTGGCCCTGAACTGAAAATTATAGTGGCACTGCACTGCAAATTATACAGATAATGGGCAGTAAAATATACCTAATTGCATTTCTGTATTGATAATGTTCAAATAGCGCCCAAGAGCCCTATTAAGGACCATATAGTTTTTAGTTCATCAATTAAAAATGTATCTAAATTGTACAAACCATTACTAATATTAATATTGTATACTCCGTATTTTGAATTAAAGCAAATTCAGTAATGTTTCTATTGAAAATTTATTTTTATAATTAGGTATTGAATAAGAACTCTCCCAATCAATTGAATAAGAATTTTCTAACAAATGAATGAAAAAGAGCATCAAATAATGAGTATTTTTATATAGAATATTTATGCTGCAAAATTCGAAGTCTCAAATCTTTGGATGTTTGATCTCTATCGAATTTATTACAATTATTACAAGGTATTTTGTAAATGACACAATTATCACTATATTTTGTTATAGTGTGTGTGTCGTGCTTTGCTAGGCAAACTTCCAAAAACTTAGCAGATAACTAAGCTTGAGACCAATAGATTCAATATTCTTAAACTCTTTATCCAAGAATTCTGGGTTAACAACCCGAAGAGCTCTTAGATACATCGATAATAAAATTTACCATTTCACATTGTATCTATGCCTTGAGAAATAGTGAACACAAGGATAAATTATTCATAGGCTTTCTGTAAACACTAAACTTAAGTGAAAAATCTTCCATATGAATAAGGAGAATCTGAAAATACAGTTGGAAAATTATTGTTTAAATAGCTCGCTCATTGATTGCTTTGTCATTTACAAAATACCTTGTAAAGATTGTAATAAATTCTATACAGTTCAAAGATTTAATATTTCGAATTTTGCAGCATAAATATTATGTAAAAAATTACCAATTATATAATGTTCAATTCATTTAGATACATTTTTAATTTAGATCAATTTTTAATTTAGATTCTTAATTTAGACCCATTTTTAATATAGATCTATTTCCAATTGATCAATTAAAAAACGACAGTTTTATTTTAGGTGTTAAAGTAACTTCTATTCCTTTTATTAAATTAATGTGTAATTTGTATTTTTTTTTAACTTCACTCCTGTTTCCCATATTCTCGTTGAAAACCTTATGTGTCCTTTTTTATGTTGCACGAGTGGGTATAACTGCAGTACTTCACTTCATGAAACATAAAATAGGGTCCGTCATTTTGGAATTTGTGCTTAATATGTGTTTATGTTGTACACATGTCTTGTACACCAACTCGACTCGTCTGACTTTAACTTTATTTTTAACGTATTTTTTTTTTTTTTACAATGTTATCACAGGTGTGGCTATTTGTGATTTGTTTACTAGATTGAATGGGAATTGCATGCTTTTTTTTGTATAGATTCGTACTCGTAATGGTTAATCTTTTAAACTATTGCCCTACCTTGATAACCAAATTGTGCTCATGTTGCTGCTGAGTTTGATTCAATTAAGCCAATCATCACTCTCGGGTACCCATGAAGTACACAGGTTTGTCTCCAAGCATTGCATTCTTTCACTTTACAATACGAAATTAAGAGGAAGTATTTAGGTGAAGGTTACAATCGCTTCCATGTTTTGCTGTACATCCAGGACATGTACATAATGCTAGCCTGAGTGCGCATACTAGCGAAAAGCGACGTAATTTGTAAGAGGACGGGTTGCTACAGCACCCGTCTAGCGCAGGTGTTGTAATACAACCAATACAAATGGTGTTGTAATACAATATTGCAATGTATTGTAATTCTAATACAAACACATTGACCCAATATATCATCATCGCATACTACAACAAAAGTTACTGGAACGTAACAGACAAGATTATATATAACTTCCTGATATTGATAACTATTAATACAAAAAATAATTTAATTCCCTAATATATAGACCATGAGCTTCATTCATTGTGTCGGGGACAGGAAGCCAGAGTGTATTCATACACGTTAACCTTATATAAAGGTCCGTCTCCCCAACCCAACCAAGGTAGAATTACAGACCCCACCCAGGATGCATCCCCACAACTAGCTAACAAACTCCTGAGTACCTACTTACTGTTAGGTGAACACACCCATTAGGTGATAGGAAATGCACCCGCCCGGGATTCGAACCCGGGGTTCTCGAGTGTGAATCGAGAACTAAACCGACTGTACTACCGGAACCAAAATGTGCTACCATTTTATTTATCAACTGAAGAAAGATCTGTGACTGATACAGTAATATTCATAGCAAGTTTAGGGTTAGGCTTAGGACTTCTGGGTTTGGCTGTGTCAAGGCTAGCTTGTGTAGATGATATTACTTTACACTTGTAATTAGGGCAATGTTCTACAGTATGCCCGTAGAGCTTTCAGTATTGGCAGTAGTTAGCAAAGGTAGAGTATTTTGAACTTGACTTGGTTGGGGAATAGTTGGATCAGGCAGTGTTTATAAGTTTTGCAGTTGAGGAATCATAATTAATTTTTTGTATGATTGAGTATGAGTCTGCGAGTTGGGTGCACGTTTTTAGGTTTGATTCACGCTTGTTCTGCAAGGTGCAGGCGCACTGGGTGAGGGAGGCGTTGCGTGAACTCTTCAACCAGTACAAGGTTCCAATATTCATGAAATTACTTATATGGGATGTTTTTAACTACATATAAAAATATCCAGCTTGATGTTGATAATACAAAAAATACAGATCATCCTCACATTTTAGTAGTACTAATAGGAACGATAAAGACCATAGTACATTAGCGACGTACAATGCAATTAGAAAGTATAAATCAGTACTATTGAATTTGGATAAAACGGAAAACGATTTTTTCTTATGTTGCAAAGACAAACAAAACTAACCTAACTTAGCCTTCTATACACGCTATCTGAGTCCTAATATAGTTCATATGTGTGCTATACTAGGCCTAGGAATATTTAAGTTTTTTACCTTCATTTTTGGACTATAAAGTGAATAGTACAAAGTTATACTATCTAATTGCTTAGTACTTCAATATATGTACTATGGTGCAAATAGTTATAAAACGTACTATCTAAACAGGAGGATGGGATGAAAAATATGCCTAGTGCCTTTGAAGTAATCTCGGAATTGTCGCCAATAACTTTCTGGTGAAGCAAGATATACGTCGATGTTGGCTTCCTTGAGTACAGGTAGTCTGTCTCGGTGGCAGGAGTAGTGAGAGTTAAAGCAGCTCTCGCAGTAAGATGTGCTCGGAGTAGTATAGACCACCGCTCTCAAGACCACTTCAGTTGATTAGCAAGGGGTTCAAACGACATGAAGAAAGAGTCGACCTTGCTCTCTACCAAAGACTGCATCATCTTCATACAGTGAGTTGGGTCGAAACGTAAAGGTAGAATGGCTTCTAGTTGTTGTCTCGGTCCCTGGTGCGTAGTCTCTAGACTCAGCTCACGGGCCTTAAGTTGATCACGATGTCTGTTGTTTCACGCTCGACCTGTAGAGTCAGTTCCACCTCTTTCTCCTTTTGTTGGATGGCAATGGCACATTCTTGTTCTTTTACCTGAATTCTTTCTTGTTATCTTCTTCGTTCTATTTCGTATTCTCGTTCTTGATGTTTCAGTGCAATGTTAACGTCATGTTCTCTCATTGCTCTCCGTCGTCGTTCTTCTGCTTCTATCGTTGCAAATTCCATCTTCATTTTCATCAATGCGAGTGTAGTTTTTCTTCTAGATAACATTGTCGCTTTTCTTCTTATGAGATGGTGTCGTTTTCAACTAAGTAATTCAGAATAAGATTATGCAGTTCAGGCTTGGTGGTTGCATGTGGTGCAGTAAAGTGGTGTTCAGTGAACACGGTCACCAACTCTGTTATATTAGCATGACATCAGGTAGTAATGTGGTCTTCTGGATTGTCACGAAAACCAGCTAAACGAAACATAATGAATGCAATGAATACATTAAATGTTAATTAATAAGTGGAAGAATTGACGGGGTGCGTGAAAATGTAACAACACATGATCACTAATATACTGACTGTCACTAGTGATGCTAGGCTGTACTCGAGTGCAAATATTAATAAAATTTAACAACTTCCTGGAAACAATTGGAAGTACGTAATTATCAAAGAAGGTAAGATAACACATCATGCCGGACAGACAATAATTACATTACTTGGTAACATATAAAGAAATATAATTAAGTTTAAAATCATTATTTTTGTATGAGTGAAACAAAAATAATATTTCGAGGTAGCTCAAATTTGATGAAGCTTAGAAATTTCTTAACCCGGTACTCTACTGAAGTGACTCTACTATCGAAGATAAGGTAAAGAGGTGTCCTGATGAGGTTCGGAAATTAACCGCAAAATCTACTACTACTTGTGCTCGTGGATGTTGTCACCCGTTCTCGCACTTGCTTATAGTCAATATTGGCTTATTAATAAGTGCATATGTAACATACTAATTTGTTGTGAATATTTGAGTTTACCTTGAAACACTGAATAGAAAACACCAACCTTACCTAACCTTCTTTGTATGTTAAGATAAGCATCTTATTGCTTCTTAATTACAAATAGTACTTAACCTATAGATATATTAATATTACATTTTTATGAAAATAATAAAACAAAACCAAAATATTTAAATAAATTGTAAAGTAACTCAGGATATTGTCAAATATTGTATAAAA